TTCTTAAAATGGGCTTCTTCATTCGCCATCTACATCAACATATTACAAAACTACATCGCGAACAACAGCAAAGTAGCAAAGCAGCCATGCCATCGAAATTTCAAGTTTTTCGTGGTCAAGGCTTATCCATGCAAGCCTTTGAAAAAATGAAGAAAACCAAAGGTGGACTTATGTCCTTTAATAATTTCTTATCGACAAGTCGTAATCGTGAGATTTCTTTCAAAAACTTTGCACGACCGGCAGCATTCGATGCGGATTCAGTTGGCATTCTCTTCATTATGAACATCGATACGGTCATTTGCACAGCTTCATCGACAGCTTTCGTCAACGTCAAAGATATTGGCTTCTTCAACGATAAAGAAGAAGAAATTCTTTTTTCGACACATACAATTTTTCGCATCGATCGTATAGAACATATTGAAGATAAGCATACAGATCGTCTCTGGCAAGTCGATCTCACCCTTGCTGGTAATCAAGACGATGATTTTAACAAATTAACAGCACATTTACGCAAAGAGCTTGACTATGTGGGAACAGGGTGGTCTCGACTGGGTAAAATTCTTATTAAGTTGGGTGAGCCTGCGAAAGCAGAACATCTCTATCAGCTACTCCTTGAGAAAACATCTTCTGATGAAGACAAAGCACAGTATACTGGTGAACTTGGAACAGTGTATCAAAGCATCGGAGAATACTCGAATGCAATAACATTTTATGAAAGAGCAATCAATATCTACAAGGAAATGAACCCTCCGAGTCAGCTCGGCTTGGCTTCTTCCTACAACAACATTGGTTTGGTGTATAAAAACATGGGCGAGTACTCGAAAGCACTTACATACTACGAAAAAGACCTGGAGATCAGTCTGAAAGCTCTCCCTCCGAATTATCCCGACTTGGCTGGTTCCTACAACAACATCGGTACGGTGTATTATAACATGGGCGAGTACTCGAAAGCACTTTCATATTACGGAAAAGACCTGGAGATCCGTTTGAAAGCTCTCCCTCCGAGTCATCCCGACTTGGCTGCTTCCTACAACAACATTGGTATAGTGTATGATGAAATGGGCGAATACTCGAAAGCACTTTCATCGTACGAACGATCACTTGAAATCCGAAAAATAGCTCTCCCTCCGAATCATCCCGACTTTGCTCAATCCTACAACAACATCGGTTTCGCGTATAATAACATGGACGAGTACTCGAAAGCACTTTCATCGTATGAACGAGCACTTGAAATCTGGAAAATAGCTCTCCCTCCGAATCATCCCGACTTGGCTAAATCCTACAACAACATCGGTATGGTGTATTATAACATGGGCGAGTATTC